GTGCGTCTGTTTATGGAGACCTCACAAACGTCGAAAGATATTCGTTATCGCTATGTCTTCCTGGCGTCCTATCGCCTCTTTACCACAAGCGAACAGCTTTTCACCATCCTAAGAAAGCATTTCGATGCGATGGACGGGGAGGACCGAGAGAACCTTGCGACTACTCGTTATGCGTTCGTCCAGTCAACTTTATAGTGCAAGTGCGATGTTCATTGACGATGTTTTGATAGTATCCTTCTGCTTATCAAGACGTGGCTGCAACTGGGTTACGAAGATATGAACGTAAAGGTTCTGGATGCCATTGGAACCTTTTCCCGTGCAATCAACGAGTCTCAGACAATGATGACACTCACCCGGGATATTTCCGCCGTAGTGACCCAGAAGGTCGGGTTTATGCCTTTCATCCACACTCAGGGGTTTACGGGAGATTCTTTTCCAGATCCTGAACATCGATGTTCCTCATCCAACTTCTTCACTACGTATCTCGGCCAATGTACTTCTGCCAAAAGCCTCAGATATCTTGCCGGAGGAGTTGGCTATTGCATTTACGATCCTCAAGGGCCATATTTTCAGCCAAGTCACCCATTTTGATTGCATCACCCATCTCCAACAACACTCCGAGGTCAAGCGTATTCAGCGATGCACCACCATGTACAACAAGATCGTGAACTGGGTGAAGAAGTAGGCTATGCTTTAGAAGGATGCTGTGCTTCTTGCTCATTCTTTGCTTCAGGTCCATCTTGAGGCCGGAAAGCATCGATGCTCGAGCCGACGTATACAAATTTTTCGTCAATACTGCAGAGGTTCGTCAACCTGCATCGCCCCTGGAGTTATTGCTCATATCTCAATGTACGATCCAGGAGTCCCAAAAGTTGCATAATCTATCATCATTGTCTGCCATCCTGACTGCCCTTAATTCTGCAAACATAAAGCACCTAGTTCTCACTCGAGAGATCCGGCTCGTCAAGGCAGAAAAACACGCAATGCATCGAATGTACAAGATCCTGGATCCGACACGTAATTACCGTGCGTACAAAGGTGTTCTCCGGCAATATAGCGAAACTGTTCCTTGGCTTGGTAAGTCTCTTTCTGACAGCTGGTAGGCACTGACTCTAACTGTCTCAAGCCGCACACCTTCAAGACTTGGCCACTGTCTTAAGCAGTTCCCCTTCCGCTGTTGAAGTGGATGGTCGAGCCGTCGTCAATTTCACTCGCTTTACCAAGCTCACGTCCAGCATCCGAGACATTCTACAACACAAACCTCCGGATCTCTCCAGC